GTAGAACCTAGATGTAACAATAAAGTAAGTTTCTTTTTACCTACCAATTTATCCTGTTTATTTACCAGAAGGTCAGATTTAGTTGTTTTTACCAAATACCTGTGGAGTACACTCTTGCTGCTGCTGCTGCTGCTAAACTGATTTAACCATAATTAACCAAAATCCTTATCCTAATAACATTCACTGCTCATTTGTATATCTTTACTCTTTAGAATCTTGCCTAGTTCTTTCATATCTGCCCTTCTCATTTCTAGTGTTCTTTTGATTTCTTTAAAAATGGCTCTAGGACCCATTTATTATTCATTTTTGCAATAATGGTATCCATAAAAGTCTCCTACAGCACCACATTTCAAATTAGTTGTTTCTCTTCCCATCAGCTTCCTTTACTGGCCACTTTCACAACAATGCACAGATATTGGAAATACTACAGCATGGTGGATGAGCCTGAGTTGTTGTTCAATTATATATCTTTAGACTTGAAAACTTATCAAATTTCTTTATAACTGCCCTTCCTAAATCTTCTTTGGATTTCTTGACTACAGTTTCCATTTTTATTAATGGTTGAACCAAAGTAGAGAAAGTCAATTGGGTTAGCTAACCTATATTGACTAACATGAATTAGTCCACTAAGTATGCATTATGTAACCTACCAAGGTAATTAATGTACTGTGCTGAAGAAATTAAGCTGCTAGTCTCTGCTCTCAAACTCTAGTCTAAAAAAGATTCAAACAGCTGTTAATTCATACAGGACAAGACAAATCCTACAGTGGGAAATAAAAACAAGTGTTGCTTTCTTGTTTGTTTGGGATCCAAATATGTTCCTCCTTTCACAACTGATCCAGGAGAGATACTATTTTCAAAAGACAAAGGGTGCTCTTTATTTCCACTCTTGCTTGCAACACATCTCCTGGTTTTGCAACCTGTGGGTGGTGTTCACCACTGTCCCTTGATTGCTGCACATTCTGAAGGAGTGATGGATGCAGGATTGGACCAAGGCAGCCTACACCTAGGAAAGGCATGAATGATCTGTGCAGAAAAGCAAGCATTCATTTGGATTCAGTGGTACACACATGTATATAATTATTGATTCAAAGGTTGAAAAAAAATCTTTTTGGACTACAATTCACAGAATCAGGACTGGAGAGAATTACTTTTTCCACTACAGTTCCCAGGGCTATAGAGAGCCAGCATGTTGTAGTGGTTTAAACATTAGACTATGACTCTGGAGGCCAGGGTTCTAAACCAGGGGTAGGCAACCTTTTTGAGCCGGGGGCCAGGTTGC